CGTCCACAGCAGCCGGAAGAAGAACAAGAGGAGGAGGAGGAAGATCATGGATATGAGTACAACTATGAAGAAGGTGATGGGGAGGAGGAAGAAGCTGAAGACATTGACTTGGCGGCGAGCGAGAAAGATGACGAAGAGGGCGAGGACGATGAAGCCGAGGCCGATTATGACGAATACGAGGACGACAGTCACCAATACACGCTAGGGTCCACACCAGGTCTTACCCACTGCTCGTCTTCATCTTCTCCGGCGCGGTTCTCGCCTACTCTCTTCCCCTTTGCATCGTCGAGTCTTCCGGACCTGAGCATTGTACTAGAAGAACACTACCCGAACAAGAAATACTCGCACACTCCCGCGCCTCCGAAGGCACGCAAGCATCGTCTGCGGATCACGCGCTTGGAGAAACGGCTGGAGAAGATTAAGAAGATGGAATTCCTGACTAAGTATGATGAGATTGAGGAGCCGCGGGTGGTAGAGGTGGACGAGCTAGAGGATGAGGAAGAGGAAGAGGAGGATCCTCCTCGGATTCAGAGGCCAGCCAATTTGGAGGAGGGTGAAGAGTGGGATCCTTTCGGAGATGAGGAGGAGGTTTAGGGGTTACTGTTTTTACTTGGCTGAGTTCGTTTTTGGATATTTTTATTGTATAATATTTTCCTTTCGGTTTTGGGGTTCATTCAGGTGGGCAAGCGAGCGTAGGAAGCTCGGTGTTGATGAATTCTCATGAATGTATGTCAGTGGCGCACCATTGCAGGCGATCAGCGAACGATGATGTCATACTTCTGGTACCTCTTCACACGGATAGTCCTCCTCGAAGGACTTCTTATACACACAACACGCGATATTTATACAGTCCTTGTTATCACATCACAATTCTCTTATCAAAACCCCGCTTTCTCTGGGCTAGCGAACGAATCAGCAGACGGCCTTTGACAGAAGAAGTCCTGGACTGTGGAGCGGGCTAATTCTGAACGGCCATTTTCATCTGATTGCCTTGTTGTCATTTGAAACTTTCCTCTGACCTCATTCTAAAATGGGCACTGTTGCGCGCGGGCGATTATTCAACTCAGCGGAACGGGCGGGGGGAGAAACGAGGATGGGGATGGGGATGGGGATGGGACCACGTGAAGAAGTGGGGCCCTTTCTGAAAGAGCATAAATTCCTCGATGGTTGTCTTTTTCTTCTTCATTCCGTCTTTTATACCCCACTTTTCTTGTCGTATAATTTCGTCTTTACTTCCTCGCCTTTATCGCCTAAACCGCCAATATGAAGGGAATGATGAAAGCGCTCTGGTACAACGGGGTGAGTCGTGTGCGCTTTTTCGGGGACATCGTTCGTCTCCGCCGTTGTTATCTGTTATCTAACATCTTCTGCCTAGCCTAGAGATCTTGAGATAAAGCAGGTGCCTATACCGCAGATTGGGGACGATGAGGTTCTTTTGAAAGGTATAGTGGGCGTTGTTTTCTGTTGGGCGGGATGAATGCTGATGACACCGTTGACATTGTAGTGCATTGCTGCGGTAGATAACCTTTTCTCCCCACTACGCCGTCAATTTTCTGAACGGAAATTTCAGGTATCTGCGGAACAGATGGCCATATCGACCAGGTATATTATATCTCCTCTTAACCGCCTTTGCTGGTACTGATAGTAAACGACGTCGGCAGGGCGAGTTCATCTCAAAATTCCCCGTAAGCGATACTGTTGCTTGATTGTTTTGGCTCGCTCAACTGGATATTCAGCTCATTCCAGGCCACGAAGCCATTGGACACATCGTCGAGATGGGCAAGAACGTGAAAGGTTTCGCCATTGGCGACCGCTGCGTTGCGGACGTTGGCATCACTGTGAGTCTTTGACGGGCGCTTCTTTGCACAGCCACCAGGCACTCACTCCTCCAATCCATAATGTCTGATCTGCGGTACAATGACGCCATCAACGACAGTGCGACAACTGCTTCTACTGCCGTCGAGGACAATCCCTGCTGTGCGAGGATTTCCACGCCTGTGGTGTTACCCAGGATGGCGGATTTGCAGAGTACATCAAGTAGTGAGTTTCTTTCTGGTTTTGTTGCAGGGAGTGATATGGAGTTGGGATTAACGATCGGGGATTTAGCCAGCAAAAGAAACTGTATAAGATCCACAACCTTACAGATGAGGAATCCACTCTCCTCGAACCCGCTGCATGCGCGATTCATGGGCTCGACAAGCTCAACCCGCCTGTTGGGATCGAGGTGCTCCTCCTCGGCGCCGGCCCAACGGGGCTGATCCTCGCACAGCTCCTCAAGCTCAACGGAGCATCGCGCGTCGTCATCGCTGCGAACAAGGGGATTAAGATGGACATTGCGAAGAAGCTCAATGCGGCGGACGAGTATATCGAGCTGGACAGAAAGGAGCCCGAGGCGCAGTGGAAAAAGCTCAAGGACGATAATCCGTATGGGTTTGATGTGGTCGTTGAGGCTACTGGGGTGGAGAAGCTCGCGAATGAGTCTATTAATTATGTGAGGCGGGGAGGAACCTTGATGATTTATGGTGTGTATGAGGATAAGGCTTTGGTCCATTGGCCGCCGTCGAAGGTACGCTTTCCGGTAGTGCTGTTGGAATCTGCGATTGATCTTTTTGGTTTCTTTTGCACGCAGATTTTTGGAGATGAGATCAAGGTGAGATCTTCTATGTCATCTTTTTCAAAGCAATTGTTAAAGTGACTGTGTGTTCGTCTCTGCCAGATTATAGGCTCGTTTTCGCAGACCTTCTGTTTCCCCAGAGCCGTCGCGTACCTCGACAGCGGGAAGATCAACGTCAAGGGTATGGTCACTGATGTGTTCAGGCTGGACGATTACCAGGCCGCACTGGATAAGATGAATAGTCGGACGGCGCTCAAGATTGTGGTCGTTCCTAATTAGTATACGTATCAGTTGTAATGGCACACGTTCATACTTTTCTTGACAAAAACACTTTGTAAATATATCGGATTACATCAAAAGCATTCTTGATTTTATGTGTCTCGAGACTTGAAAGACTATTTAACGTATGGCGTACGAGTACATCTGGCTAGATCGATTTCCCTGGGTTGTCCAAGAATTCCATTGACAATCGACCGCGTCGAGGCCCCTATTTTATTTCCTTTTGCGGAATCCAAAATTTCGCGGCTGCCGGCGATGACTCTTCCGCGCGGCCCACGCACACATGCTTTGTGCGCACAACTTGAACTCGTCCATGGAACTTTGACCTCCTTGATACCCTGCAGAACATATCTGTCGCAGTAGCACCGTTACCTCCACATAGAAAGTCTACATTCGCCCAAGATTCCGTTACCACTTAGAAGACCTACTCAACCCATGGCAAGCATACAGGCGGGCGAGGTGACGACCTCGTCCTCGATAGACCACGGCGCGGGTGTGCACGAGGACGAGTCGGGGATGATTACCGCGAAGAAGGCGGCGCAGGATATCATGTTTGGGAGTGTGCGTCTGTCATTTTTCTCTGCGAACGGCCATTACCAACTGTGGCCATACCGGTACCCTTCTCTTCTCCAAAGATCGCGGGCATGGTGGCTGAAGTGTTCGAGTACCCTTTCGACTTGGCGAAGGTGCGATTACAGTCGCAGGTGTTGGCGCCAGCGTCGTCGAATGCGGTACATTTTGACGGGCCGATGCATTGTCTGATTCATACGTGGAAGACGGAGGGCATACGAGGTCTATATCGGGTACGATGCTTTTTGAAAATTTGGGGGGATATTTCGTTGAATATCGAGGATGTAGGGACTACCAGCTCCCATCGTGGGTTCCATGGCAGAGACAGCAGCGCTGTTTGTGTCGTATACAGCATTCCAGAATTTAATCCGATCGTTCTCGCCAGCCGCGTCTGGTTCAACACCTCCGCTATCAATACCTCAATTAACCCTGGCCGCTGGCGGAGCTGGCTTTGTTACGAGTTTTGTACTGTATGTCTCGCGTTTGAGTGCTTTTTTTTGGAAGCTAATTTTCATGTACAGAACGCCTATTGAACTCGTAAAATGCAAGATGCAAGTCCAAATGCTTAACTTCCACCCTCCCACAGCACCAGGGCGGATACCTCGACGGGCTGTTCCCGCAATCCCCTCACCTCCCAAATCATTTCCCAAAGGCCGTGCTTTGCTTCACCACAGCGCCGCCTCAACTACTTCTGTCGAAACTCTCCGACCACCAGGGCCCATCGCACTCATCCGCTCCATCGTTGATTCGTACGGGGTGAAGGGACTCTGGCTAGGTCACACTGGCACTTTGGTGCGCGAAACAGGCGGCACTGCTGCATGGTTCGTCGCGAAGGAATGGGTCGCGCGGCAGCTCATCGTACGGCGGATACGACAATCGCCATACATCTCTGGTGCGGATGGCACCAAGATCGCACGCACGGCTGCAAACACCGAGCTGCTGCCTTGGGAATCGGCGTTTTCAGGCGCCATCGCGGGTGCTTTTGGCGCGCTGGTGTTTTACCCTGCGGATACGGTGAAGAGCGCGATACAAACTGAGGAGGAGCTGCGACCGCGCGGGGGCCCAGTCTCTGCTGGGTATAGAGCGCCGTCGAGTTCATTTTTAGGGACGTTCAAGCTGATGTGGATGAAGCATGGACTGAAGGGCCTGTATGCTGGCTGCGGGATGACAGTCGCGCGCGCTGTGCCCAGTAGCGGGATCATCTTCGTGGTATACGATGGGTTGACGGCGTACTTTTCATAGGATTATAAACGGATCTCGGACGCTGGTTCTGGTATCTTTATTTTTGTTATGATCTGTGCAGTGCACGCGACTTCTAGACACGCTTTAGGACAAGCGCCTCTTTCGTTACTAATAATTTGTAGAGCATTCCCCTCCGTATGCGTGGATTGCATAATGTACACTTAATAATCTGCTATTGTATCGAATTACTGTACCATCCAGCTCTGCCTCTTTTACTTTCAGCCTGTCCAATTTTCTGGAGGCTGATAGTGTTCAGATCTGCGGTCTGAGCTTAAAACATGTTGCAAAAATCAACGCCGTCGTAGCACAATGGTAGTGCGTTGCTTTCCTATCTTCGGATAAGGCAGAGGTTGCGGGTTCGATCCCCGTCGTCGGTTCTTTTTTGTCTAATTGTTAGGAACCTCTGGATTCAAGTCTTGACAAAAAGGGTAGAGAATCTGCCTTTTATATCGAAGTATTGATTCTTCTCTGAGCTCTCGCTTTCGTTTGTGTTGTTAGCTTGTATTGACAACGATGTACGGATCAATGCACCATCCGTAGCCCAGTTACAAAGTTTTTGTAGTAGAATTTGCTTTTTCGCATCCCCCCCCCTCCCTCCACGATAGCGTGGAATTGTTAGGCGCTGGAGGCAACTTACGTGCATGCGTGCGTGCTTAAGTGGGTCGTTTGATTGGATGCATTCATAACAGTCTTTGCTAGTATATCGGTTAGTACACGCGCCTGTCACGCGCGTAAGCTGGGTTCGACTCCCAGGCAGAGAGTTGTCTTTTTGGGCTTTCCTTCACTGACTTCTGAGGGAAATTGGATTTTTGTTCTGAGTTCCAACTACGGTAGTCTACGTTGAAACCTCAGAACCAAGGTCCAAGATGCAATTTACAATGCTAGCCGCCAATTTGTGAGTAAATCTATGATCGTGTTTCTCTTGTTAAACCAACATGTTCCGTATAAATATGCTAGTAGTAAATCTAAGCAAGGAAGAAAACATAGATGCTATGCGAAGGAAATGCAGTGCGCGGGGTGGTGGAGTAGTTTGTGATAAATAACATAACAATCAAGATGCGATATGGGTGTTCGGTGTACAGTAAATACTAAAAATTTACATGGATCCTGCGACGATGCTGATTTGAGGAGACTGGTAATAAATTAATAGCAATAGCATGCAGTCCATAAAATCAGAAAGGAACAGATGCAGAAAGCAAATAATGCGAGCTTCGATGGTTGTGCACAAAGCAGAGAGGGGACAAGCGCGTTAGCACCGCTCGTACATGCAAAGGTAGGCCTTAGCATGGAGGACTTCTTCTAAGGTTGCCAGTCGGACATTTGTATCGCTAATATGAGCCCATTGCCGTTCTGATGGCTTTTCAGAATGAGAATGTGCATGCGGATGCGAATGGTCCGTGCTAGCCGTCTTGCTGCTCGTTGATGCACTACTCGATGGGTCGGTTGAAGTGGTAGATGGCGTAGGGTCTGAAGGTCCACTGGAAGAATTCCCAGGTGCCAGAGGAGACTCTGAAGGAAGAGCGGTGTAGGCAACATAATGACCGCCGAGCTAACAGCGATAAAATACGTCAGTACTTGATCAGCATTCGCCTCAAAAGGTCGAGGCCCAAAAATGACGACATACCATGTTCCCAATATGCACTACTACGGCGTATAACCGATACATGCATCGCTCTTCCTTCTTCTTAATTTTCTTCTCCTTGTCCTTGCCCTTCTTCCCAAGGCCATAGTCCTCTTTCCTCGGGGCCAAGAACGGCAGCAAATCGAGATACTCAGGGAACGAGACGTAATCGTCGAGCTTCTTGAACCCATGTGAAAAAGACATGAATGGAGTTTTCGACGTTTGTTGGAACCGTTTCAGGTGGATAACCAATATTGGTGGAGGTGTTGCGATGAGATAACGCTTGTATGCTGGGCGCATAATCACAGGCTTAGGTTTGGAGGGCTTCTTATGTGACGGAGGCGAGGCATTTGAAGGATTCTGTGATGTAGATGGTTGTGTCGTCAACGTATCGGGTGTTCCGTTCACGCCAGCCGGCTTCTTGCTGGATTCCGTTGACGCCGAGGTATCAACAGAGGTATCGCTCTCGTCATCGGAGCTGTCGACGTCAGTAGTTGTCGCATCTGAGCAGACAGACCGCCTCTTATGCCTTTTTCGTGGTATGTCCAACGAATCTTTGGAGGCCGAATCATTGTTTGACCCGTATATTACTCGTGCCAGCTGTGGTTGAGAACTCAGTGAAGTTGCCGTCGAAGATGGATTGCGTTCGCTGCTAGTTGAACCTGTTGAGATGACATGGGAAGGAACGGATACGGTCGAGTCTGTAGGCGTTTCTGGAGGCGCTGTGGTGGAAATCTTAGGAATCGGCAGACCGCCTGGCCCAGCTGGTTTGGACTGGTCGCTGACATCGGAGACGATAGACCATGACAACGGAGAGTCTTCACCGCTCTCATCAACGGGTGCGGTACTAGACTCGGTGGGAAGGGAAGAAACAGAACGTGTATCGCTGGGTTGGGCAATGGATGAATAGAAAGAAACCGTAGGTGTCGACAGCGATGTTGGGATGAGCGTGGTAGGTGTGGGCGCTAGCACAGTCAACTGTGGCCGGCTCTTCTCTGCAGATTCCTTGTGACCAGAAACCCTGTTAACACCTGATTCCTCCTCCGTCGGTGGCATTATGGGCGTCGGAGATTCGGACCGACATGGTTCTTGAGACTCTTCATCCTCCTCTTCGTGGTCTGAATCTTTGCCCTTCGATGTGTGCAGCATTCCGTGTTGAATCTTCCAACACCTCCGACATCCAACCATATTATCGCCATCGAGCACCTCAACCGCCGTGAACAGCCTCATGCATTCTTCAATACCAGTCAGATTGCGTCCCAAACCCAACCAAGCAGCACCTGGACTCCGTTCCTTGTCCCTTTCTCCTCCTGTTGATGACAAACCGCCCGACGACATTGGTCGTGACCCGTGATGACTCGAGTGCGAGTGTAGCATTGGTGGCTTGAACATTGCGAAAGGATTCGAGGATGAGGGAGCTGTCGAGACATCGGCAAGGATTTTGCGAAGATATTCGACTTCTGCTGGGCTAGATTTCGGAGGTTTGGGAGATTTGGAGCGCTGAACGCCGGGGAAAATAGAAGTGGGGTGAACGTTGAGTAGGTTTGATAACGGCTGGGCCGCAGATGGTTGAGGCGATGACGATCTAGTGGTGCTGGGCACAGAAGAGACGGAAAATGTCCGAATGGCAGTGGGGATATTTGTCTTATTGGATGGGGGTGAGGAAAGGGGTATAGTGGCAGACGAAGTAGTCGCAGATTCAGTTCCATTGATGTTCAAAGAAGACGCCGCACTATCAGATAAAACTCGGTTTCTGAGTGCAGAGCTTTCTACCGATGCTGGAGTGTTGACGAGGCTGGCGCTGGCGGACTGGGATTTCTGGATGGCTAATTCAGCAGATACATCCTCCTTGATGGCGTCTGGCACCCCAAGGCTACGACGATCCATGGACCGACTCTTTCTATCCCTTTCCTTCTTGTCCTTTTCCTTATCATTTCCTTTCGAGCGCCCAAGTCCGACTGTGAGGCTGATCCGTCGCCCAATTTTGGCCCAGCTCATATCATCATTCTTTGGCGCCTTCTCTTTCACCTTCTCCTTTTCCGCAGACGAACTTTCGGCCTTCTCTGCTGGCTCGATAAATCCAACATGCTTCTCCTCCGGCCCAGTGACGTGAACAACGGGATTCGAGTCACTTTCGACTGCGACATCATTCTCCGATGGAGTGTCTGGCGCTGGCGCTGGCTCGGGCGGCGCAGACACTTCGGGGATGACCTCTGCCGGTGGCGGGGGGGCTGGCACCGGTGACTCGGGATCGGAGACGGCTCCCCCCACAGGCAAATCCAAGCTCCTCCTCCTGGGCGATTCAGCCCTAGGGTGTTCCGTCAGAAGCTGCGCAGCATCTCTCTCCGTTCGCGGGCTTGGTGGCACAGACGACGAGCGCAGCATTTCCACTGCGCTGATGGGTAGACGTGTCTGTGGCTTAGCTGAAGAGCCCGGGAACTGAGTAAGCTTTCCAACCATCTTCTTGAACCGATCGCGCTTGCGGTTGTGAGGGAAGTAGTCCTCAGCTTTGATGCTCAGGCTGATGTCGTTGAAATCCTCATATGTCTGTGATACGTGTTTGCATTTTTGACACACCAGGATGCTTGTCAGCTCGCCGCCGAAGATCATGTCCGCAAATGAGAGCAGTGGAGGTTCGGTCTGCGAATCCACCTTTGACTCATTTGTGGGCGTATTGAGAGAATCAGGGGTAATTGTAGTTCTCCGCCGTTTCTTGGGATGTGAAGGAGGCGGTTGGCGCTTCTTGATAATCTACTTGAAAAAATCAGATGGTGAAAGGTCGGACAAACCACGGAGCTCACATCTTGTTCCTCCATGCGCATGGCGTCGAGCAAAATTCGCAGAAATTCGTGCGCATCCTGTTGCGCAAAGTCTAGGTACTGATCATATTTCTGACCGAGAGTAGCCAGGATCGGTCTGAATATGTTAGCACGCTTGCATGTTCGCGACATAGTGTTCATACATACCTTGGACTGAGTACGTCCCTCCTTCTAGCTGCCTGACTGTCCCATGCTTTGTACATCACAGTCAAAAACATGTCACCAATTGGCATGCTGTTCACCCATGGCTGCTCGTATATTCCTGCCAGGTTATGGCCATTTGTGAGTTGCGGTGATCGTCGCGAAACAATCGGAGTGGACGCCGTCGCCTGTATCCCAGGCGGTATTGGGTTGAAATGAACAAGATCGGAAAGCAAACGAGTTGCTATTAGCTGTTTTACTATCAGAGACACATCTCCTTGAGTAAAAAATTTGACGCACCCCCTGTAGAACAGAGTTCATGAAGCATGTATTGCCGTGATTGATCAACCCAGGCGGTAAATAGGCAGTTTTCTCGGCCTCTTCACGCTGGCGCCGTTGCTTGTAGATCTCCTGGGGCGTTAGCGCCTTTGACTTGGCCATGTGGGAGATATCAAAGCCTTAGGATCCCTGATACGAGTGTTGTCGCTCATAAATGGCAGATGGTGGCACCGCGCAGCGAACAGTAGAAGTTTGTTGTTGTTTGGATCAGGGGCCGCTGCGCGTTATCCGTAGCAAATGTCATCGAAATGGCCGTTTTCGAGCCATATAACTGCGAGACATATACCGTAATACCTTTGCCTCGTAGCAACCTTTCGAACTATATGAAAAGTGCAGATTGAAGGGAGGCAGTGGTACTGCTTGTGCCGTTCCCCGGCAAATTCCGCAAGATAATAATGCGGGGTAAGTTGGTGGCAGTGCGTCCCTTCACAACGTCCCCTCAGCGCCTCACAAAGAC